CATGTTTTCAATATGCGCGTGCACGAGCGCGCGCTAATGACGCCATAAATCATGCGCAGTAAGGATGCGCAATGCAAATGTGAGGAATGACCTTAATTAGTTTATTTTAACCACTGATGAGATTTTTAGATGCATTCTCGAGATTTGTTGGAAAATTTTTGATATTTTTCGTTTCAATGTAAGACCAATGTAAAATTTTGAGATTTTTAGATCTTGTTTTGGAGATTTTTAGAACTTTTTTGGAGATTATCTGGATGGATTTTTAGGCGATTGTAGCTAGGCCTACTTTTCCCTTCCCAGCGTTCCCCGCGCGCTTTCCATTCTATCAGCCTTGTGCTCGTCACGCAATCTTTCGTGAGGCCATGTTGGTGTACCAAACCAAACCTCTTTTCTTAATTGTGTATTCACTTTCTTTCGTTTATACGATGAAAGATATGTATTAGGTAAAAATAACAACTGGCCTAACTATTAACTATTGTCTAACTACTGCCTGCCACAAGTCGTATTGCCAGTAGCTTGCATACCAAGAGTCAAAACAAATTACCACATTACATTGTAAAGTTGCGCGCGCTTACGTAAGCGGTTTCACGGCTGCCAAGCAACCATCCACAAAACGAAAAATAATGCAAGAATCAATAAGTGACCCGTTATTTCATGCACACCGATCAAGTGCCACGAACTACATCCTTAGAAGCCTTGCGGTCGGATGTAAGAAACTATCCTGTCTGTAGGACATCTCCTTTTACAGAGCACAGAAGAAAAGCTGCAGACAATATCAACCGAACAAAAAGACTCTTTTTGTGCGACGAGATCAAGAATTGCACAAATTCCACTGTCGTGGCCGAACGGTGATCTGTCTCTGTGCAGACATCCGTCACTTATTTAGTCCACATTAGCTTTGTTGCTAGCTTGAATGATTGGTATTTCACAAGCAGTTCCCTGAATTAAAGCTTAAAATGACGGAAGGAAATCAAGACGACGCTACTCAACAGCTGAACGAAGACAAAGAAGCGGACGAAAAACCGGTTCAAAACATTTCCGAACAAGGGACAGGAGATAGCGTCTTGCAGCTTGCTTCAGGTAATAACTTATTTATAAGACGTTTTCAAGTGTCTTAGATATTGAATATGTATTCGATGATCTATTATGTAGAATTGAGAGGATAGTAAAAGCCCGATATCTCATCTTTTTGGCTGCCTTGGCATCGTGCACCAATTAGCTTACATCTTGTTGTAAAGGACGATTGTAAGGCTTGCGTTGTCTCGCTCTGTGAAAAGAATTGCGCTGTTGCTATGTCCATTGTTAAGCTCAGCTTTAAACTCGATGTTGTTGATCAGAGGCTTCATGAATGGATAGTAACTGCACGAAGCGAATTGTAGTCCTAATTAATAATCATAGTTCTACGACCGACGAAAATTTTATATGCATGCAAGCTACAAATTAATTTTATAATAACAAAATAATGAACTCATTAATTGATGGAAATTTTAATAGGGTGACAATGGTTTTACGATGTGTACCTGACACATGATGACAACATTTAGTGTGTGACTCATGAAAGGCAGCTCAAACACACACGAGAGTTGTGAATTTATGAAAAAGCCATCATTTAAAAGTAGCTGCATGTACAGTGGAACCCCATTAATCCGGTTATCAATGGGCCACAAAAATCTGGCCTTATTAACAGGGTGGCCGATATTAACTGGGTGGCCATATTAACAGGGTTCTTTAAGTAAGATTTAGCAACTGACTGAGCTTTTGTGCAGGCCAGAATAAAGTAGCCATATTAACGGGGTGGCTGTAAGGTGGGGCTCCACTGTACATGTTAAAGTATTTGTGACATGTGAATTTTGTTTAAAGTTCTTGTGTGAAACAGGATAACAACCCCTCTTTGCTGTCCTCCTTTGAGGATAGTGCCTGTGTTTGTTAATGCAGGCATGTTCTCAGGGCTCAACTTTCAGGAAAAAATCTTGGGCCCTGAGCTGGCCCCTAGTTTTCAGATTTAGTCGTTAGCATAAGTATTTCAGTGAAAAGCATGACAAGTTAGTCGCCAGTCAAAAAAAATTAGTCACATTGGCATCCCCAGCGGTCGCAACATCGAGCTCTGGTTCTGTGCATCATGTGCGTGCTTAAGGATTGAAACTGACAAAATCAACTATGCTACCAAGTGCACAACGTAAAAGAAAAATTTTCCATGGAACTCCAGAATAGCAGCATATCACTAAGTGCTAACAACTGCTAACAGCTTGCAGCAGAAAAACCATACCGTAAATCCTCGAATTCATTTTGTGGACGAGTAATGAGACAACAAAGGATGTATAGTTTTTGTCGTGTAGTATTAGATTTGTACATTGTTTCAGTTTGTGAACACACTAAGTTTAGAAAAAAAGTACAAGTACTAACAGCGCTGCGATTTAAACTCAGCTTTTTATATCGATAAACGGCTTATGGTGCTGTTTATGCAGATATGATGTATTAAAAAATGATCGTGTCAGGCCACGATTTGGGTAAAATTTAATGAGCGCCCCCCCCCNCCCCTCGATTAAGCACCCCCGCCTTGGGCGCTAATTCAGGGATTTACAGTATCTACTATTCAGAGAAAATTATATTGAAATCAAACTGTAAACTGCCAACTGGAGATGACACAGTGCAAGCATAAGACAATTGTAAGAGATGCAAATATTTGACTTACTGGGAGAACAAGAGGAAAAAATGTTATGGACTCCAAAAGCGATTTCAAAAGATGAAAACAACTCTAGAAAAGTGTGAAACTTACCTCTTTTTTTATTTATGAAATTGAAATGGCAAGCTTATTCAACACATGATTAGTTTCTGTTTGATCACAAAAGTTGTTTCTTAAAGACTGTAACCGACATTACATCAACAGCGCATGCTAGTTCTGTGTTTCTACTGTATCTAGTTTCAGAAATGTGGCTTTTAGCAAATGCTTTCTTACAGGGTGTTTTCTGATATCTTTTAATTACATTTGATTATAAGGTTTCCAGAAAAATTGTAATGTTAGGGTAGTAGTTTAAAGTCCCTGCTACATCTTTTAATAATAAGTTTCTTTGCAACAGGGGTGCCAGGAGATGGTGATCATCCAGTGCAGGAGCAATCAAAGCAGGAAGATGAAACTGAAAAATTGGATCAGAGTAAACCAGAAGATAGTTCTCCTCAAGAGCCCACTGCAAGTGAAAGTGTCCCAGAATCACAAGCAAGTGGGGAGCCTGTGCAAGTTGCAGATAGTGAAACTCCAGTTAACAGTGATGAACATGTACAGAAAAAATCTGGGGATGAGAAACCAGCAGAAAGTGAAGGATATACCGATAATGCAGAAAAAGGAACAGAAGAAAATGGAAAGCCAGAAGATACCAGCGATGGTGAGGAGCAGCCAGAAATACAGCAAGCCGAACAAACAGAAGAGGGAGGAGAGAGAGTACCACAGGGTACAAATGGGAGTATGGATCAGGTGGCTAGTGAGGAACAACAGGGTAAAGAAAAACCAGAAGGACAGTCTGAAGAAGCTCAGAAGGAAGGAGATGAACAGCAACAACATGAGATACCAAGTGCCAGTCAGGTGGAGCAACAAGAAATCTTGGCTCCAAGCCAAGAAAAAGGAGATAAGCCAGCTCAAGATGAAGGAGAAGCTGAAAAACCAGCTTTGGAATCTGAAAGTCAAGAAGCAACTGAAAAGCAAGAGAGTGAAGAGGCTGCAGGAGAACAGGCAAAGGCAGAGGCCAATCAAACGGATGGAGACACAACTAAAGAAAGCTCACCTAATGAAAACAGCCCTGAATCTGAAGATCAGTTAACACCAGATGAGAGTCAGGCTGAAGCTGCGAAGGACAGTGAAGCTGCAGAAGAAGGTCAGAAAGTTGATGATAGTGTGGAAAAACCAGACACAAAACCTGATGAAAGTGAAAATGCCCAAGAGCATGAGACTGTAGAGGCTGCATCTGCAGAGAGTGAACCTGTTACAGAAAGACTGGAAGAAAGTGCAGGAGAAGTTGACAAACCAGTGGAGAGCCAGCAACAGGTTCAGTCTGAAGCTTCATCTGTATCAAAGCCTGCAGTTGTAGCAGCAGGACAGGTTGCGTCTTTACCTGCTGATGAACCGTCACCCAAGAAACCCGATGAGGTTCAAGAAGAAAACAAGAAATTGAAACAGGATATTTTCATTATGAAACAGCAGGAGGATGCATACAGAATCAAGGTTCTCAGTTTGGAGCAGGAAGTAGGAAAGTTACGAGCAAGGAAAATTGATAACAGAAGTCAAGGTGGGTAAATTTCACTGTCTTGCGACCCAAACACATGATTACTTATAATATGGTAATGGTAACAAAATTCTTGTAGTAGAAGTAGCCTGTATCATTTATGCATAATTATATTGTGGGAGTTATGTAAGGAGTGATTTGTGCATATGACAGAATGTGTAGTTCCAGAAAATATCCATATGGATATTTTCTGAAACTGTGCAATTGAAAATTTTTTTTTTTCTTAGATGTGGAGGCACTGCCCAGGTATAATTTAGGCTAGAGTATATAACACAGTTTTGCTTTTAGGCTGAAAGTGATACAGTGTGGTTTCGCCAAGTTCTGGTCTGAAATTTGGTATGATGTGTCCGGGACCACAAGAGCATATCACATGCTTGTACAATACTAATCTTGTAGTTAAAAATCTTTTCATCAGGCTTTTTATTTGGAAAATAGGGAAAAAGAAAGCAAACAGGGTATCCCCCAAAATTCATGATTTTGCTGTGATTTGCTAAGTACAAAGCATGAAACAGCCATGTTTAAATTTAACAGATATTGAATGCAGAGGTGCCCAAGGTCTGAAAATGGACACAGTAAAAGATAGTGAGGAGTGCCTTATACCCCTGACATTGTTTATCTTTCCCAACTGGTTAACTTAATTCAAATAATGCTGGCAGTTTTCACTAGGCTTTCACACATTTGCACATTCACTAGTTAAGCATACATGGAATAAAATTCCTTGCTTTTACTTAACTTTGACTGAGTAGAATATATTGAAGAATTTCAACAGTGACGTCCCAAAATTGTTCTAACTCTGTAAATTACAAAAAGTTTATATAATGGTACAGAACAGTTTTTGTTGCCAAAATGTTTCGTGATTTATGGCCATTAGTGTTCTTAACTTTTTTAGCAAGTAAAACTTTAAAACTTTCTTTTACTTCTGAAATTGTGTATTAAAACCTACTTATGACTTAAGAGTCACTTAACAACAATTTCAAATTGAGTCGTTTTGCTTTTGAGGTGCATCAGAAATTTGAATCCATTCTGCATGGATAGAAATCGTTCCCAAGCCCGTCAGACACACAGTAGAGGTATAATAAATATCTTACTAACCTCATTTTTTTGGTCCATACTGTAAGTTACGGATCTTGTTTTCCCCTTCGATTTATGGCCCGCACGCTTCGCGCTTGGGCCATAAAATGATGGGGAAAAACTCGCTCCATATCCTATAGTACAGCCCTCGAATTCGGTAAGAGGTATGTAGCACTACAGTAAGGACACTTGAACTGTGAACACTTGATTTGTTTTGTACATTTTTTTGATGACTATAGAATAAAGGCTCGTCATGATCATATCATGTACAATTTTATCATTTAAAAAAAACCCCACTAAATTATGTTATTTAAAGAGGAAGACACATCAGCCTTAGCAGGTTTTCATGCAGGCCCTCTATCTGGGTCAAATTGGAATTTAGAGATGTTGATTTTTGCAGAGGGAGGAAAACCGGAGAACCCAGAGAAAAACCCTTGGAGCAAGGCGAGAACCAACAACAAATTCAACCCACATATGGCACCGGGCAGGAATCAAACCCAGGCCACATTGGTGGGAGGCAAGCACTCTCACCATTGTGCCAATTGCTGCTCCCGACTTGTTAAAAGGATGAGCCCAGATTCTAAAGTCACTAACAAAATGTACAAACAAATAGAGTGAAACCTGTATTAAGTGGACACCCTTGGGACCCTCACTAGTGTCCACTTAACAGAGGGTGTCTGCTCTAGACAGGTTCAATAATAATAGTTAATTATTAACCCTTTTGTAACACCGTATAAGCTGAAAGACTGTTCATAGCAAAATGTCCAGTCAGTCAAAGCATCAATCTGGAATAATTCAGTTATCTTTAGAATGACATCGCTGAACAATGTTAAAGGAGTCTGAGCTGAGGTTTTAGAAGTAAAAAGCCCTTGAAGTGTCCACTTATGCAGGTTTTTTGCAACAAAATAGCTTAATATTGGTGTCTATGTCCCCTTAACAGAGGTGTCCTCTGAATGCAGGTTTATTTTATAGTAAATGTGGGAGGAAAATTTAGGGACTCAAGCTGGTGTCCACTCAATAATATGGGGTCCGCTTAAATTTCAAGTTGCTGGTTCATTGATATAATAGACCATAATTTGTATTCTCGGTATCGCACTGGAACTAGCTTGCAACTGAGGCTAATGTGGGGAGTCTTTTCAAATGCAAATGACATTAATGTGTTTTTAATGATATTCCCTGCATGAGCCTCCATTGCAAGCTAGTGCCAGTCCAATACCGAGAATACGAATATGGCCTATTGCAGGTTTCATTATGGAATGGATTTTTTTTTTTCTATGTGGAACACATAGAAAAAAAAATCCTATGTGACAGCTTGACATTTTGAATATTTGAATAATTGATTACAGTAACTGTAAGTTTCATTTTTGAGGGGAGGGCTTAAACGTTATGAGGTGTTTAGAATAAAAGGCTGGTACAACAGCAGGAATTCACAGTTGTTAATTGTTATGTTTCTCAGTTTATAGAAGACTTGGCTTATCATCCTCAGAGTTTGTTACAGTTAGTAATAGTAAAGACCAGGCCCCAGTTGTTCGAAGGCTGGATTACTCACCGGATAAACCGCTATCCAGTGAATTAGTGTTAACAAAACAAACCACGCTATCTGCTGAATAGCTATTTATCCAGTGGATAGCGTTATCCACCTTTTGAACAACCCAGGCCAGACACAAGTTCTTACGGGGCAATCGATATTTAGGAAGACCTTCCACCTTTCTCAAAAGACTCAAGTGTGTTTGCATTCAGTCAAAGCCAAATGATCAAAACATATCTCAGTGCCAGACCAAGAAACAAAGTAATTTTCCCTTATGCGTGACACTTTTACATATTACGTGTTACATAGAACTTAAATTGTACTGGGAGCTAACAAGAAAACTAACTGGCTAATTGAGCTCGGCAGCTCAAACTGTAATTTTAATATGCATGTACATGTAGATAGGAAGTTTTCTTTGTGTGTCATTTTTAGATGTAAAATACTTATTTAATAACTTAATTAGTTATTTTTAAGGAACACTTATCCACTTTTATCTGCTTTTTTTCAGATTCACTAGCATCAGATTCAGACAGTTACCTAAAACAAAAGTTGGGAGAAACCGAGAGGGAACTGGATGCTGCAGAAAGGAAAGTAAAGGACTTGCAGCTAAGACTGAAACGCTTTGCTAAAGATGATCAAATTAAGGATGAAAAGATCTTCCAAATGGAGAGAGAAGTCAAAGAACTATCTGACCATATCAAAAAGTTAGAGCAGTCTCTCGCAGAGTCCAAGAGAGAAAACAACAATAACACGACAGTACAGGCAAGCGCAGATAAACAAGACTCCAAAGTTTGTGTGATTCTCTGACTTTTTGCAGTTCATATATTTATTTCTATTTATTTTTTAGATATTTGAATTTTTATACGGTTGACTTGGCTGAGGTTTAGGAGATATTTGCACAATCAAGCAATCTTTTATTTCTTGTCTACATTGTATTTTAATATATTTTTGAATATTAATTAATATATTGACAGGACTTGTATTTAACTTCTATGCAGTGCTACTTCGTGCTGAAAGTTAAAACTCTCTGAATAACTTCTAGACATCATAATTATTTTTGTATCATAGGTTATGTCGTTGCTTAGTTGAGAATGGTGTATAGAGAACACTTTTATTTAATGTTTTTGTACGTCATATCTGATTGACAGTCATATTTTTTGTAAAATGAAATCAGTTTTCTCAAATTTGATAAAAAAAAAATGGCTGAAGTGGATTTAAGGAATGAAATTTTGCAGGAGTGTATTTTTGATAGAATTTGAAATCATGTTTCAGCGGCTTGCACATAACACACAGCAATGTCCATTTGACAAAATAACTTGAATGAAATTTTTTCATGTCCATCTTCAAAGATAATCAAGTTTCTCTTCTAAACTAAATAACCACAGTATATTTTTATACAAAATTATGGTTCAAAGCAAAAGTTCTTGTATTTGTTATCTTCTTTATGGGCAGAGCTATAGCTGAAGGTTAAACAGTCCTTAACTTAGCCTGACTTTTTAAAATCATGAATAAGGGTAATTCCTAAAAAAAATCAGTCTACATTTTCATGCACAGCTGGTAAGTCATTCTCTGTCATTATAACTGATATGTTGAGAGCTAGCACACAGTTAGCTACCATAACCTGAAAAAATGGAACATTGGTAACATTTCTAGGTCCAGATCTACCTAGCAGTACAAGAAACATGTACCACTGTGGTGTGTGAAAGTAAATTGTTTATTTCCACAAATGAGTTGGTGTGTGTGTTTTTTTCTTTATAAATAAATCATATCTTGCAGTTCCAAAAAATATCCTAACCCACCCCATGAGACATGGAGGCACCTTTTTACTGGCCTGTGCATTGGCGATGAGTCCAGATGGACGGTGCAGAGGTTTTTCCCAGGGGTGAACTCCCATATAAAAAGGACAGGGGTGCTCGTCGGAAGTTTCGAAAAGAATCCACAAAAGGTACCAAGATCCTGCTTCGTGGGCGTGGCTTGAAATTTTTTCACCCGTAAGAGGTACCAATTCTAAAACAACACATTAGGTGGCCGAACCCAGTTTTCGCGCGCGCTTTTGCTGATGTAATTCAGCGCGCGCACAAGGATTGTAAAAAAACAAACATGCCGTCAATACAGCGATCATTTTATTTACTCAACACCTGCTCTATCTGCGTTATTTTTCTTTATAATTGAACGCAGTGTATTGATGGCTTTAGTCTTTTATTACAAAGATATGTTAGAAAAGGTAACGATGCAAAGAACCCAGCAATTCTCAGCTCTTTCTTTGTTACCGAAAGGTAAAGGTAAGGTAAAGTCTGCATGCGAGCCAAGTGGCCCATCAGGGCGGAGCTTATCCCGGTTTCTGTAGCATGAAGCGACTAGGAGTATTTCTA